TATGCGCAAATCAGCTCACTCTGTCTTCAGTAGTCTACACGTTTTACAGTATGGGAGCTATGTATCACTGTATCACACACTCCGAATTACACAATCACACACACGTCCGGTTCTTCTTTCCGCGACAGCTGCTATACTCCAACTCTGCTCACAAGCTGCTGCCTTGAGGACTGCTGATAACACACTCTGACTCGTAGGCTTACTCGGAACTGTCTTCGGCGATGGCCACATTACAACTGACTCATAGCTGCTGTGCAGTTCCCTTATATAGCCACAGTGCTTGCCTGTTGCATAATGAGTGCCACGTCATCCTGTTATGTCACCGCTGTTGACTCGCGTTGCATAGCTACCAGGTTGCGGGGGCTCGGCTAACTTCGGCTCCGCTCGGCTCACTTCGACTCCTCTCGTGACGTCACCGCGGGGAGAGTGGCGGGGTGATGACTCGCCTATTACGCGAGCGCTACGTTACCGCGACGTGCCACTGGGGAGGTAGGGCGCAACATGTCACAATATTGTTCATTATTTAGCCATATGATATGAAGGTATTGGATCTTCGTTTAATGACTGAATCTCTTCATTAAAGAAATATTTTTTCATCACGGTTTCTAAGCATGGAAATCAGAAGAAACAGGTATACATACAGTTAAATGGAGGCTTTTTTGTTTTAATATTTACATACAAAGGCATCTAGATACTGCAATCCATTACATCCACATCACTATGGCAGCCACAACTGTTTTACACTCTTGAAATATTACCCACTAAATGTAATAATATTGTCATCTGGCTGTTGTAGTGTATGTCCATCAGCTCCAATTTCTGGGAAAATGACTTTGAGGTTAGGGAATTGACTGCAGTTTAAATGTGACTTTAAAGATAACACATTCTGAAGTCTCACAGATGCAAGCAAGGTAAACCTGTAGAAGTGTGTGGAGATGGTGCAACACAGTGTGGAGATTCAGATAAGCCCATTGTCTTATTTTCTCCTAGAAGTAGATATAGAACATTCCAGTACTCATAAGGCAATATGTTCTGGCAGGAAAGTTACATATACAGTAGAACTTGGTTATAACGTCATCAAAGGGGCGTAAAAATAGTGTCGTTATAAACGAATGTCGTTGTAACCAAAATGGGCACTTCCACAGTAGCCTTATGTTAGTCACGTAAAAGTCTACCAAAAACCGAGTTAAAATGTTGATTTTTTTTTAGTGAAATACGTAGTTAAGTACAGACGAACGTAACATTAACGTGGAATTGCCCAAATGTGTAATATCAAAGACATATTACAGCGCTTTTCACTGACAATACACACAATATTTCACGAATCACTTTAACTTTCTCTTCAATGCTTAAAACTTTCCTTTCCATTGCCATGTTTTCGCTACTGCACTTCTCTGGGTTTAGGCAGGAACACTATAGGATAAGTAGACAATGTGAGGTCCTGTTAGACGAGATTCTAGGAAAGGAATGCAGTTAACAACCTGCCGCGTCCTCTTGCACTATTCACTCAGTCCCACCCCACACCCTTGTTTTCGCATAAAACCCACGCTCCTCTTGCAGCCCGCGGTCGTATTCTTCCAGGACAGTCACGTCAGCAAGTAGAGAAGGTGAGGGTGGGCAGGCACATCGAACTTTCCNTTACAGCATGCAAGGTAAGGTTACTGGTTTTGTTGTGCTTGTACTGTTGTAGTGTTAGAATTCATGCATTCGTATGTTCATTTAAATATAAAATGTTTCACTTAGCGTTTGCTCAAATATAATTTTGTGTTCAAAAGTATAGTGTGAATCCATAATGTGTATATATTAACCATCTTTTAGTGCATACAATTTCACTTGTCACCTCACACTACATGTTTCAGCATCATTCTGCCATCCTCAGGTGTATTAATCATGTTAAACCATTGCACTGCCTGCCATCAAGTGTCCATTTATAAAATGATATAAAATGTGTTCGTCATTATTCAGTAATAAAATTTATATATTAAAACTTGTTAAGATCTATCATCTTACATGTCGTATATCAAAGTCGTGTGTAATGCCATTCATCCTCTATGGGAGTTGTTGTTCTTATGTTTTAATACATTTAATACATACATGTTTTTTATGTTTTATATATACACATTATGGATATGAATAATTGCAACAGGACACTAAAATACAACAGTAGAGTGTGAAGTTGTTTAGCTCAGGATAGGTGTCAGTTTGCAGGCTCCTGTGAAAATTATACTGAACCCTTAGGTTACATAAAAGGCCAACAATTTCTTAACTGCATGAGCAACTATGAGGTTCTCAAGAAAGGTTATGTTTTAATGAATTTATTTATACTGAGGCCAAATAAGCCTCATGGATCAACCCCCCTCCACATCATCCACAAGGTGTTCTCGTTCCCCTTCAGTTGTATTTCCCTATACTTCTCTGCTGGTATTTATCCTTCCTGTTCACAAGAATGTTGGCAGTGATAACCACTTGATAATTTTGATAGAGACAAAGAGTTTTTGGCTGTTGCATGTAGCCCAAAGGGAACCAAAGGGTGGTGTACAACAGGAGACAGAGAAGTTACTAGCTTTGTTGTCCCCACCATTCATGGAACTTCTTGCCATCACCCCAGTATAGTTACTCGCATGTTTCACGCATTCATCTTATGTGTTGTGTAATCATTTCAGCTGAGTTTGGAAATCATGATCTGGAATGGCATACAGCAGAATATCTGAAGGACTTTGCACTGTTTCCAAAGGTAACTTTAATAGGGCTAAATATTGCATTGAAGAACACTTTAAACAGTTCAGGATAATATTTTTTATTCCATACAAGGATAAGTATTTGTTGCTTGTCTAGGATATGATTGTTTTCCTTCCTTATAGAAGCTAAAACATTAAAGCAGGAATAACACACAGATTAAGAAATTACAGTTTTCTCATGCAGTCAAGAAGAGAACAGAGAACTAGAAAGACTGTGAACGAGGATTCAGATCTCATCAACAATCTCTACCTCTGTACTAGCACATAGCTTCATTAGCCTTGTCTGTTGTGTTTGTAGTTTATTTAATGATGCTGACAGTAACTCCAGGCTGTATAGTATTGAATGATAGGATGACTGGTGAATAATAAATTGGTGTGTATTTTGAAGGAAGCGTTATGGTCTAATTGAGGCATTATTGGAAGACAACATAGAGTCATATGTAAGATTTGAGGCTTTCACGGCGGTGACTATGAAGAAAGCAGTCTTCTGGGATTTGGCGCCGTGTATATGTGGTGTTAACCGACGTTTCGGAGGAACGTATCGCCCCCATCTTCAGGGTTGAAGAAAAAGTATAGGTAAATCTGCAAGCGACAACACCGTGAGACACGGTAAAGCAGACTGAAGAGGATACCGTTAGAGCAGAGAGGGAAGGGGATGAACTGCGAGTAAACAAGTGAAAGCAGTGGTGTGGGAGGGGTGGGGGAAGGGAGCCGGGACCAGCGTGATTTGTGTAGGGGAGAATATAGCAAGGTTAAC